TGTGTGTGTGTGTGTGTGTGTGTGTGTGTGTGTGTGTGTGTGTGTGTTCAGGTGTTGAATGAGACTCTCTCTCCAGCCTGGTCTGAGTGTTTGTTGTTCGACAGAGTTCTGCTGGAGGGGACGAGGGAGGAACTCCAACGAGACCCCCCTCTCGTCATCATCAACATCTACGACTACAACGCAGTGGTGACGCTGAGCTTCTTCTTCTCCCTCACATATTCTGCTGCTGTTTCAGTGATGTCATCACAGCTTGTGTGTATGTGTGTGTGCAGGGCAGTCCGAAGCCTCTGGGTCGGGCGTTTGCCGAGCCGGAGTTGAAGTTTGTGGAGCAGCACTACAAGAAGCCCCGCCTCCGTTACTATGACATCAGCATGGGCAAGGCCCCGGCTGGTGAGCTGTTGGCCACCTTCGAGCTCATCGAGCTGGACTACTCTGGGTTTGGAGAGGTGACACCTGTCGATCAATCAAAGTCTCTCTGTTTGTACCTCTTCATTGTCCATCATTTCTATCAATGATAACGTTGTTATTACGGTGTTTCACCTTGCTCTGTAGTTTGTACTGTTCGTGCTGTTAGCATCGTTAGCTGTGAGCTACCGGCTCGCCTTCGCCATGTTGAGAGCCGTGGAGAGGCAATTGAAATGCTCCCAATATCTTTCACTTTAATACGTACAAAATGTAGAGGATCCGAGGTACATCCAACACAGTCTCACAAAATTGTCATGGGAAACACTGCATTACGTCATGCAAAACAGGATGCCACCCGACTTGAAAACTCATTCAAGCTCCGGTTTAAATAATCTGAATAAACTCTTGTTTGTTTCCAACACACTGATTACTTCACTGCTCGTATTTCTTGATTTGTCAGATTTCTTTTTAGTGATGTCGCCGTTTTCTCAAATGGCTGCTATTAACTTGGTGAGTAAGATGTTATGTTTACTGATAGAAATGATGGACAAAACCAAAAAGAGTTGTAATAACACACAAAGAAAACAGTGTTTATGAATTCATTCTAGATAGTGAACTACAAAATCCTTTCCTTTCCTTGCAGCCTTGTCTCCCCAGCAGTGTGGAACCTAAGGAGCTGACCTACCTGGAGGAGCAGAAATATTACATCATCCCAGAAGGAGTCCGACCTGTGCTGAAGACCTTCAGGATCGAGGTCACAAACACACATATATATATGTGACATTTATTTAGGGCACTTTTGAGGACATTACATAGACTTGCATTCATTTCCTGGAGACTTTACCCTAACATTAACCACTGACAAACAAATCAGATATTCCAAATTGGGGACACAGCTTGCATTTTGTCCCCAAAAGGCTGGCGAGTCCCCACAATGTGGCTTTGTAAACTGATTAATGTCCCCACAACATTGGAAAAGCACATACACACACACACTCATACACACACACACTCACACACACACACACACACACACACACACACACACACACACACACAC